TATACTAAAATAGGCGCCAAGAAGAGTTTCTTATTTTAAGAGGAAAATCCTCTAAATAGTAATATTGCTAAGAATATATACTGATTAGAATATAAAAAGCCTCTATAGAAAAACATATATATATCTCACTGTCGAAAAAGACTATATTCTTAAATAAATAATATATTCTTAATTTCGGAAGAATATCATCTAAAATCTTTAAGAAGATTTTTTAAGTATCAAATCTTCTACTTACGAGAATATAATTTTTTCGGTGTACAAACATAAAATTTATTTTTTCAATGCCTCAAGTATATATGTTAAATAAATTTAAAACAAATTAATTTTCCATTTTAAGAAAATAATACATTATTTCTTAGAGATATCTAAAAACTTGTGTTTTCTTCTGATTGTTGTGTGTGCTATTTATTTTACTGTCGCTAAATTTCGCTTAGGGTTTGTGTTCGCGCAAGAAGCTACCGTGCTGACGAAACGAAGTATTTCTCGAAATTAAATCTGCTCGACACGACGAAGAGAGAGCAGAAGAGAGAGACCGCTTTGATGCGAAGGAGAGACGCATTTCGCCGGAGATGAGGTGCGAATCCACTTTGCGCCTCGTCAGGACTCGACCGTTCGGAAAATCATCCCTGTTTGTTGTCACCCCCTGAGCACATCAAGGCATTCGCGTACGAGGTGCAAAGAGCACCCCGGCAGGTGCTCTATAAGCGGGAGGAAGAGCTGTACCAGAGAGGAAACGAAAGGAGGGGGTGATAGAGCATAGCAGGGGGTTGCGGTGGAGGGAAGCAGTAGCAGCAGCAGCAGCGGCGGCGGCGGCAGCATCGTGTTTCACTGTACTGCGTTTAATTGCATTCCAAAATGGCTCTGTGCAAAATCCTCCCCCCCCTCCTCCCCCTGCCTACCGCGCTCTCTCGCAATCCTCCTCTTCTAGCCAGGTACAGACGGCGAGGCATCTTCAGTGCCGTAAATCCAGATAAATTAAACTGGCACCAACGGTTCTCTCTGTCTCTCTCTCTCTCACCTCTTCTGTTTCTCTCTCTATCTCGCTCTCTCTCTCTCTCTTTCACTTCCTCTTCGTCTCCCATAGACATCAACGCGTCCTCGTTTCTCCTCCGTCTCGCTATATCGAGTCGTTTGTTCCGGGTCGTGCAGGGTTATTCTCTCGCAGTCGCAAGCGAATCTACGGTTTCACATAAAGCGATAAAGAGCCGGCGAGCTGTTTGTAATGACGGATTCGCAAGTGCCGTGAAATCGCGTGCAAAGGACACGAGGCCGCCGAGGGACGGGGAAACGCGCCGAACCTTCCGGTGAAACAGCGACGTGAAACACTATCCCGTGATGACACTCGCGAACGAGTGGCTCGTCGTATTTTCAGTATTTTTTCGCCAATATTCGCGTCGGCGGTAAAAAATATTCGGTTTCTCTTCGAGCGCAATTAAAAAATATGCTGCGCGATTAAATTTGGTGAAAACGCGCATTTTTCAAGCAAGCTTTTTGTAATTAAAAATCATTGGTAAAACACTACTGCAAATTTAACAGAGAGACGAATTAAAAACGGCGACGAGAATTGCTAAAGACATTTTTTTGTCCGCGATTGAAGTTGAAACTCGGATTTTGCCGGAAATGCGCAATATTAATAATTTCACCGAAAAAATTTTATTCTTGTTTTGAGGATATCCCACTTACTTTAAGTATATTTCATACTAAAATAGGCGCCAAGAAGAGTTTCTTATTTTAAGAGAAAAATCCTCTAAATA